TATTTTGGTTATTATTGGTGATCAGCTTCATTACTTGGTAACATCTTCTGTACAATTTCATTTTTGGCCACTTGTTATGTTTGGGTTTGGTTTGGTTTGGTTTTAATCTAACCGAGCCTTTAAAAAAAAAAAAAAAAAAAAGCCAATTTGAGGAAATTGGTTTGGATATGGGGAAAAAAAATTTGATTTGGACCTCCTCAATTTTTCATTGTAGTCAATTTGTTTTTGTTCTGAATGTAACTACTGGTTTTTAACTATTACTTCCTTTACTCTTATTTTTAAATAGGTCTTTCCTGCTGCTAATCCTGCTGTGCTAGAGCAGTTGAATAATGTGGATTGCATTGTCTATGCTATGGGTTCCCTTTTTACTTCGATCTGCCCTTCATTGGTAAGGTCCTTGCTATCAGTATATATGTTGTGCAGTTATACGGTATTTCTTCTCGATGAAGTGACATGGTTACCTACTGATTCATTTCATTTGAAACGGTCCTGATTTTGTGTCTTCTAGTTCCAACGCAATATTTTTGTATTATTTTGATATATTGTAAAATTAATTGATATTCTCTGTGATCATTAAATCTTGATATGAGTTGTGTCTGATGCTTATCTACTGAGTAGAGCAATATTTTATTTGCTACAGGAACTTTAGTATTTGTGAGAATCAATGCACCATAGCTGTATGCAAATAATTTTAGTGGGATGGTTTAAGCTCTTCAAGGATAGGGTTTCAGTTGCTAATGGACTTCTATCACGAGACAGTGAAATCACACTTTAAATGCACAAGAGGGAGAAGTGATTGTGAACCAAATCATATGGATTTCTCCCGTAAATAAAAGGGTAGGGTGATTACCAACTTAGGTACAGAAAAGTAGAATGATACTTTTCGAACAATTGGATGGTGTTGCAAAATGATAATGATTGAACCTATGTTTTCTCCCTCAAAACTTTCTCCCTATTTTAAAATTTAACTTGCTGAGTGGTAATGATAGAAACTCGTCCCCCCTGAAAGTTTCCTCCCCTTGTAAAACTCAATATGCTAAATCTTAAACCAATGGATGTTTTTGCATATTTTACTGACTGTATTTAGCTGCTAGCATGGTGTTTAGATTTATAAAGTAAAAGAATAATGTCAATTTGCTGAGGCAGTTAAGACTAAAATTCTTGTCTTCCCAGATGGTTGATAATTATACATTTCAGTAACTGCAGATCTTTATATGCATTTGCAAAGAGAAATTAATTGTCCTATTGCATTGAGCCATAATTTGACTTCTTAGTTTGTTAAGAGCATAATTTCATCGTAAACAAAGAAGAAGAAAGTCTCAGCTGACTTCACATCAAATGATGTGGAACGTTCTACTATTTTGTGGGAGTTGGAGGCACTTTCTTGCATTAATCATACACATGTACTAAAGAGTTGGCTGTCATACCCAATCTGATTTTACTAGATTAACTTACTTTCCAGCTCTCTGAGAAAATCGTTTTGATCTTATTTTATTACAGCTAATTTGTAATTTTATGGAAGCAACATTTTTTCTTAAGGCAATTAAATTGTACCATTAGATGGTACTGACTCCCATAATTTTGTAGGTATTGCTGGGAATTGGAGAGATCATATCTTCAAGATCCTGTCTAAAGGTATTTTTGTGATCTTTTCCTAAGCTCATTGGCAAGAGTGATGATGAGGTTGGGGTCTCCATAAGATGCACTTTTTATTCATCTTTTCACTGGAAAACAATCACCCGGACTGTAACTCATTCAAAGTGGCCCAACCTTGGTATAACTGCGCTGTTTGATTGAGGGCAAAGTGGGCATAGGTTGATTTCCTTTGATATGGTTGCAAGTCCCAAGTCCCATAACATTTAACTTTTCAATATGATGAAACCCAAGATTTTAAGTTCTGTCCGTCATATGGTATGAGCGCACTGTTACAATCAATTCAACTACAGTTGTAGTGAAGCACGCGTCTCTTCGCTAGATAGATAAAACTCTATTTTATTTGATGGAAATTAATGTGTGTGTGTGTGTTCTTGTTTACTTCCATGGCATTATCCAAGCTCTTTCCTTACTGGAACTTGGACTGCACTGTGCCTTGTTTTGGCGACTTAATGGTGGATTAGATTTGTGTCTCGCTCATTGAAATCTCCGTGACTTGCCAGTTTGTTAATAATAATTTGAGGAAAAAAGTTGACAGGTGCTTATGTTAAATGGCTCACGTGACCGGGAGACAAGTGATTTTTCAGCTTCATGCTTTGTAACTGCCATTACGGATGCTCTCAATCGAACATATGGAGATCCCTGTAATCGCTTACAGAACCTGGCAAGTATCGAAATTCCTTCATCAGCAAATTACCTGTAGCCAATATAACTGACTTCGTCCGGAGAGCCAGTATTTAATCATTGGGACTATTTTTTCTTAACTAAAGAAATCCCATAAAACTTGAATTCACAGAGTTAGTTGATTTGACTGTTTTTGGCTACTCTAGGGACACGTGTCATCTATGTAGTATGGGCATTTCTTATACTTCACAGCTCTACTCTTCTTGACGCAATTTTTTCTTTAATTAAAAAATTTTTGTGCAGCCTGGACAGTATATCAATACCCTCTTGGTTCCAAGAGACGGTGAAATTCCAGTTGATAAAGAATGTCTGGCTTCCCAAGGAATACGTGAGGTGGTATGTTGATTTGTAATTCAAAGTAATTGTGACCGAGAGAAGAAATTATCTTCTTTCCTGAGATCTCAATTTAGGCCAGTTGTTTTCAAACTTCAATGGACAAATTCAAAGAAAGAGCTTGCATATTTTTAGGTTGTATTTGACATGTTGAACTATCAAAATGACATTTTTAGGTTGTATTTGACATGTTGAACTATCAAAATGACTTGAGATGTGTTTGGGTGTCCGTTTTCTATGAACCGGACGTTTCCCAAATCCGACAGTAGGTTTTGGGTGTCCAAAAGGACAACCGACACACACTCAGTGCAGGAATTATGGCAAGGACTTGCTCAGCGACTTTTTTACACTATAGGACCATATAACCACCAAATATGGTTACCCAGTTTCAAATGTTAGACTGAATAACCACAATGGCGATTGGTCCATATGAGTAAAAACTTAACTGGTGGGTCCTTATTCACAATTTTTTCCATGTGAAATTGGTTTTCACAAAAGCTTCATTTTAAGGTGTTTCTCCGGTGTTTTGTCATTTCAACAATTGATGAACGTCAAAATTGTAATCATATTACTATGTGCGCTTTGTGATGCAAGATCATTGCCTTAATTAAATGTTTATCTCGCATTTGTTATTTCTGCAGATAGTTGTTGATTCGATACGTGATCCTAATGTCGGTGTGATATATGACCCCAAATCATTGATACAAGCTCTTGCTGATCTAATAGGCAGATATATGAAGTCTCAGGTTACTCTGGGGCAAGCCAAATCTTTTGCCACGTGACCGTCGAATCAAGTCTTAAAGTGGTTCACTGTTCCCAAGGTTAGAAAAAGTATCTGATAAACAGCAAATTTTCCATGGCGCAGCTTCTATCTTTCTGCTGATGTTGAATTATGGCAGTCTTAATTTCAGGTAATTCATCCTAAAACTATAATTGAATCATTTGTGATTCTCAGTTCAAAATATATGAATCCTTGATTATGAGGAATCTTATGTTGGTACTAATTCTTTTTTCGCTCATCAAATTCCAGGTGATTCTCTCTGTTCTCAGTCAAGAGGCTGCTGATGGCTCTCAAAAAATGGCTACTGTGAATTGTATCTGTTAATTTGATCGTTAACTATTGAAAAAGTGTCTGTTTTACTCTCTGTACATATCTAATATCTTGTACACAATTATGAGCTTTCGGTTGGTCTTAGTATTTACCTTTCTTCTTTCTTCTTCCTTGTATTATGTTTCCTTTTTCCCAATTTCTCCCCTGACTTGCATCCACCGTTGGTTGGCTTGGTACTTTGGGATCACACAAAGGACTCTTTTTTCAACCATTATACTCCTCCGGTCCTTATTATAAGACCCCATTTGACTTTTTATTTGGTCCTAATTATAAGACCCCAATCCATTTTGTCTCTTATATTTATGTATTTTTTTCCAAAATAATCCTTCTAATAATGATAGTTTTAGCCAATATACTTAATTAGTAAGGATATTTTAGGAATGATAACACTTATTTATTATAAATAACCAACTTAACTCACTTCCTTAATCTCCTCAAATAAGTCAATTGGGTCTTATAATTAGGACCGGAGGAGTATCAATGTTTGAATGGTTCAAATTTGTTCTTTTATAAAATTATTATCACAATGTTAATTTATAAATTTCAAATACGAATAACAAAAAAACCTTTTTGGCTATAAATAAATAATAAAAATCATCTTCGTTTTAATCTTTCCGTCATATTACATCTTTGGGGGAAAAAATAAAAACTTTAATGTTTTTTAAAAATTTAATACTCCTCCGGTCCTTAATATAAGACCCATTTAATTAATTTGATTAGATTAAGGAAGTTAGGTAAGTTAGTTAATTATAAAAAAAGTGACATTTTTCCTAAAACACCATAATCATCTCTCTTAATACTCCTCTCCCTCTTCTACTTGATTATAATTGATGGAGTATCTATAGGGGTAATTTAGAGAAAATTGATAAATATGAAAAATGAGTCTTATATTTAGGACCAAAACCAACTCAAGAATTGGATCCTATATTAAGGACCGGAGGAGTATCATTCTTCTAAAATGAGATTTCTTTTTTCTAAAATATAGGTATCATACTATTGGAGGTAATTCTATTCGAAGTACTGTCAGGTATTAAATGTAGACACCTCTCTTAACTGGGATTAAAATAAGATTTTTAACAAAGAAGAAAGAAAAGAATCTTTTGAAAAGGAAAAACACAATTCTGCTGTGGGTTTAGAGTTTCGTATGGGGCGAAAAACATATTGCGGTTTCGACCTCTGGCCCAAAAAAGAAACTACAGATTGGATAAGATATTTCAGCATCTTTCCGGCACCCAACTTTTGCTTCTTTGGCAGGAGAGTAGCAAACTAGGAGAGGCTTCTCGCTGCAATCACTTCCTTACATCTGAGCGGCAATTGTGAAGAAAGATTCGGTAAGGAACGCAGAGGAAGCAATGCCATTGAAAAATTAAGAGTGAGATTGAGAAAGAGAGAAGGAGACGCAGAGGAGAGAGGAAGCAAGAGAGGGATTGATACACAGAGAGAGAGAGAGCAAAAACCAGGGGGAAAATATCTTGCTATGGGTTATTGGATTGGGTTTTGCCAGAGTTAGATATTGATTCTACTCCATGTCTTAATCGTCACGCCCTGCGCTATACATGTTTGTTGAATTGTCTCAATGGCTTTGTCTTCGTTGCCCTGTCATCCTTTGTCTCTCCCTGTTACCAATTACCGCTCAAAACCTACCCTTTTCTCTTTCAAACGACTAACCTTCGATTTCTTCGTGCCTTTTTGTTCCACTTCTAGCTCGTCAGCTACACTCACTTCCTCCCCAGTACAACAGCTCCCTTCTGATTTTTCACCCTCACAACTCTTGGATCTCCTTCGTCGCCAAAAAGATGAATCCTCAGCGCTTCGCATATTCGAATGGGCCTCAAAACAACCCAATTTCGTACCCGTTTCATCCATATACGAGGAAATCCTTCAAAAGCTTGGGAAAGTGGGGTCTTTTGATTCCATGATGCTAGTGTTAAAAGAAATGAAGTCTGCAGGTTGCGTTGTTGATACTGGTATTTTCCTTATTTTCATTGAGAGCTACGCGAATTTTCAGTTATATGAAGAAATTGACGCTATCCTCCGAGTAATGGAAGATGAATTTGGACTGAAACCTGACACACATTTCTATAATTTCTTGCTGAATGTCCTTGTCGATGGCAACAAGCTTAAACTTGTTGAAACAATTCATTCAAAGATGGTTAATAGTGGAATTCAGCCGGATGTTTCAACCTTCAATATCTTGATAAAAGCTCTCTGTAAAGCCCATCAGTTAAGACCTGCCAATTTGATGTTGGAAGAGATGCCAAGTTATGGGTTGTCACCGGATGAGAAAACATTCACAACATTAATGCAAGGTTTTATTGAGGAAGGTGACATGAAGGGCGCGTTAAGGATAAAAGAGCGGATGGTAGAATGTGGGTGTCTGCTGACCAACGTGTCTGTTAACGTTTTGGTGAGTGGGTTTTGCAAAGAAGGTCAAGTTGAGGAAGCCCTGAGTTTCATTCAAGACGTATCGGATGAGGGATTTTACCCTGATCAAGTTACTTTTAATGCTTTGATGAATGGGTTGTGTAGAAGAGGGCATGTCAATCATGCTCTCGAAATCATGGATGTTATGCTTGAAAAGGGATTTGATCCGGACGTCTATAGCTACAACTCCTTGATCTCTGGATTATGTAAATTAGGAGAAATTGATGAGGCAGTTGAAATTCTGCATCAGATGATTTCGAGGGATTGTTCCCCAAACACTGTTACTTATAACACGCTAATTAACACCTTGTGTAAGGAGAACCATGTTGAGGCAGCAGCTGAACTTGCTCATGTTCTTACCAGTAAGGGTATATTACCTGATGTTTGTACATTTAATTCTTTAATACAAGGTCTCTGCTTGACTGGTAACCGTGAAATTGCAATGGAACTATTTGAGGAAATGAAGAAGAAAGGATGTCGACCTGATGAGTTTACATACAGCATACTGATTGATAGCCTCTGTACGAGAAGGAAACTTGAAGAAGCTTTAAACCTGCTGAAGGAAATGGAGTCAAGTGGCTGTGCCCGTAACGTTGTGGTATACAATACTTTGATAGATGGTTTGTGCAAAAATAAAAGAATTGAAGAAGCAGAGGAAATCTTTGATCAGATGGAACTCCAAGGGGTGTCAAGAAATTCAGTAACCTATAACACCCTCATAGATGGTCTCTGTAAAAGCAGAAGAGTGGAGGAAGCTGCTCAGCTTATGGATCAAATGATCATGGAAGGATTAAAGCCTGATAAGTTTACCTATAATTCATTGCTTACATACTTCTGCCGGGGTGGAGATATAAAGAAGGCAGCTGATATAGTGCAAGCTATGACTTCAAATGGCTGTGAACCAGACATTGTTACCTATGGGACCCTTATTGGGGGACTATGTAAGGCTGGCAGAACAGAGGTTGCAAGTAAGCTCCTCAGATCTATCCAGATGAAAGGCATGGTCTTGACTCCACATGCTTATAACCCTGTAATCCAAGCTCTCTTTAAAAGAAAAAGAACAAAAGAGGCCATGAGGCTTTTCAGAGAAATGATAGAGAAGGCTCATCCACCAGATGCTGTAACATATAAGATTGTTTTCCGTGGCCTCTGTAATGGTGGAGGGCCAATTCAAGAAGCTGTTGATTTTACAGTTGAGATGTTGGAGGAGGGACTCCTGCCAGAGTTCTCATCGTTTGTCTTCTTAGCAGAAGGGCTTTGTTCTTTATCCATGGAAGACACTCTTACTAAACTCATTAATATGGTCATGGAGAAAGCAAAATTCTCAGCAAATGAAATATCTATGATCAGAGGCTTCCTCAAGATCCAGAAATTTAGAGATGCATTGGCCACTTTGGGCGGTATCTTGGATACACGAACGGCCAGGAGATTTTAGTGGTGAAAAGTTTGGGTGTAAATTATATGTGCGATGATGTTCTGAAGCGTATGCTGAGAAAGCCCCTCGTTGCATTTCACAAGGATGCTGAAGGCAAAGTTCGAGACCGAGAAAAGTTTGTTTGCCCGGGAATCAACACATTACAGAACCCTTGGCTTTCTTCTTGCTGTCCATATTTGTGAGAACCTCTATCCAGCCTCAGTAAAATGCAAAAAGTGAAGACCGGCGATCACTGAAATGTCCTCTGAATTTAGAGATACAAGAAAGGAATTCACCCACTTCTGGAGGCTTCTTATACGGGACTGAGTTACGGTTTTGTATTGACTTGGAGGTGCTGGATAAGATTCCAGTTGGTCTTGAATTCGTATTACGGTTGAATACTGTAAGCGGTTGACCTGAGTTGTAGAATTTTTCCTTTCACCAATATTTGCTTGAATATAATTATTAGTTATAAACAAGTGCCGCTTCCTCTTTATTGCAAAGATTTCTAAATTAAATTTCAGCTAATCTTGTGAATACATCACACTTTTGAAATCTTTCATTATCAAGGCATGTTTTTGCACCAGAAATCGTTGTTTGTGGAATCTCAAGAGTAATGCTTCGTCTCTTTACTGCTTGTATATGACGCTGTAAGGCTTTTACTTTCCTTCGTAAAGCTGCTGTGTATGTGCTTGCTCTGTTCCCCAAAGGCTAGATTGTTTAAATCCATTCTCTCAGAATTTAGTCTCATTACTTTCTCGACGAGTCAACTAGATGTTGCAGTTGAATTATTTGCAGCAAACCCTGCATTGGTTTTTGTTTACCTTCATTCTATCATTAACTTTTATCCATCAACGCCTCATGCTACTTTTGTGACACTCCTTGTAGCTATTTGGTATAAGGCCTTAATAAAAATTAACAGCAACTGTCCTCATAATTTTTACTCTTGCAAAAGCTAGAATTTCTCTTCCCGTGCAGGGACGCTCATTTTGGAAAAATAGAAAACAAAACGTAAAATAATATCAAGTTACTCTACTTATATATAAACTATTAATATTTGGCTTCGTTTGTTTGGTCTGAGCTTAGTTTAAAGTTGAACTGATTGAATTTATCAAGAAGCACCTTCATGGAGTGCTGCTATAGCCCACCTCTACATCTTCGCTCACCACTGCTGGCCCCTCATGTGAGGATGGCGTGCCTACTTAAATTTGCCATCATGAAAACTCATGTGTATTAAACTTTAAATCAATGCCTTGATTGATCATTCCGAGTTTGGGCGTGAGGGCCCTCAATTGCAAGTGTTGCAGAACTCATAAAAAGATGGGTGGGTTCTATTTAACAGCCATGTGATGGGGAGTAATAAGTAGATGAAGAAGAAATAACAAGCCAATAGTTTAATGAGACCCAGTGGGTCCGATAGGCTTTGTGCTTAGTGGCTTTGGCGAGTCGAGCTCAACTTAATTTTGGGTTTGGTGGATGCCTCTTCTTATATTCTCAAGTGACTTTAGTGGACACAGGATACACACACACAGCAAGTGGACAATGGCTAGCCTTGCAGCTCTAAGTGGTGGAGCCCATTTGTTATACAATATCCTTCATATAAAAATTACTCCTCCGGTTTTAATTATAAGACCCAATTGACTTATTTGAGGAGATTAAGGAAGTAAGTTAAGTTGGTTATTTATAATAAATAAGTGTTGTCATTCCTAAAATATCCTTGCTAATTAAGTATATTGGCTAAAACTATCATTATTAGAAGGATTATCTTGGAAAAAAATACATAAATATAAGAGACAAAATGGATTGGGGTCTTATAATTAGGACCAAATAAAAAGTCAAATGAGGTCTTATAATAAGGACCGGAGGAGTAGTTATTTTGTGTGCGTTGCCATGTTTGAACTCCTGGCTTAAGAGGTGAAAACAAAACACTTTTATTCTGTTAATAATATAAGAATTAATTAGGAGTTGAATTTGATTTTAAATATAAGACTTTGATTCATATTATCTCTCATTTATAATTTTTTTCTCAATTAATTCAGTTAACTTATAAACTGATATGTAAGCTGATGTCATACAAAAGTAAATTAAAGAAATTAAGTTATATTTATTATAACTAACTAATTTATACTACTTTAATTTATCCAAATTGATTAAATAACTCTTATATTGATAATTTAATTAGTAGTAATAATGATAATAAGTAAATGAGGTCTTCCGAATTTGTTGCAATCAAACCTGGCTTTACCATTTGAAGAGCATCTAAAAACGTATTTACAAATTATCATTTTGACAGTCCCTCACATTATTTGAGGGTTTTAACCCAGAACTTGTAAAAGATGTAAACCCATGCCCTATAAGATATGCGCCTTTTGTTCTGATCCAGATCTCAAGTTTTTATATGACACTGATTATACATCAATTTATAAGTTAGATAAATTATTTAAAAATAATAATAAAATATGAGAGATAAAATGAATTGAGATTTAATATTTAAATTAAAATAAATTCCCAAAGTGATGAGATGAATGATAATTTTGAGAGAGAGAAGAGAAACTTCGTGGCAACAAGAGAGGCCAATAATATAAGAGGAAATCCAAAGCACTGCGATATATGATGCTTCAAATCAGTGAGCGGTGCCATGCACAGATAATTGTCTCTCAGAGATAAGAAATAATTCATATTCTGATAACAACTCATGCATGCCGGTGAACTGAAGCCAGTAGAAAAGTGCAGTTCCTTTCATTTTTCATTTTCTTAGAGAGAGAGCTGTCATATGTGAACATATCAAGCTAAGTTGCATGAATTATGAGTTCTCTTCTTCTTCTTCTTCTTATTATTATTATTATATATACACACACACATATCAACTTGGTGGCGACGCTGCTTGCGGGGAAAAAACAATAGCGGTGAGGAGAGTTAGATTTGTTATAAATTTTAATTAAAGCCCTGTTCTTATTTTGCCCTTAAAATATTAGTTTCTTTTGAGCAATTTTTTCCTTAAAAGATTTAACCTCATCGTTAACTTCTCAAAAAGTGTGAAGCCAACATGCATTAAGCACGCGAAATATTTTTCTATATTTTTTAAAACGCTTGATGTACTTAAAAAAATATTTTAAGATACTAAATGAATTAATAGTTCAGGATGCTGGGTAAATAAGAGAATATTCTAAGGTGTTGGTTCACATCAGAAAAATATTTTATAGTATTGAATTAACCTTAAGTCATGATCGAATAAACTCATGTAACAATTTTTCCTGGTCTTATACGTGCGTAGTTGCTTGAAATGTCACATGATAAATATAGGCAGAAGTAGACTGAGGTTCAAAAGGTGACACAACTTGACCTAAATATAAAACTTTAAAACCCTTACACCATCAGATCCATCCAATCTGTTTGCATGCACAGATTAGTGGTAATTTATTTGTCGTATAATATTAATGGAGGCAATTTGGTAGATAAGTGTAATACTCCTCCGGTCCTAAGACCCAATTGACTTATTTGAGGAGATTAAGGAAGTAAGTTAAATTGGTTATTTATAATAAATAAGTGTTGTCATTCCTAAAATATCCTTGCTAATTAAGTATATTGGCTAAAACTATCATTATTAGAAGGATTATCTTGGAAAAAAATGCATAAATATAAGAGACAAAATGGATTGGGTCTTATAATTAGGACCAAATAAAAAGTCAAATTGGGTCTTATAATAAGGATCGGAGGAGTAATACCTTAGGCACAAGGAGGAGTATAAATAATTCAGAGTTTGACTTGCAGACACGGGGAGCCTCAATCATGCATATGAGACATATCACACACAACAATTTCACCCCGTGACTTGGAAGCCAGCGGAAAGCCAGCAAACTCATGGTCTTTATTTTTGCAGGGAAGTGAAAAAAGTCATGGGAGAATAAACAATTAAGTCCCTAGGTGAATTTAATAATAATAGTTAGGTTTGCGGTAATTTGTAAAAAATATTTTATGAATTCAGATTTAAATACTCGTAAATTTAGGATTCTCAGTTGCTACTCCCTTCTATCATATATATATATATATATATATATAAGTTATAATTTTTTTAGAGCAAATTTACTTCAAAAATTTGAAGTCGTAGCAATATTGTCCTATATCATTAAAGATATTAACGGTCAATGTTACTATTGTGATAATCAATATTAGTTTTCTAATAGTAAAAGGTAATGTTGCTGTAATTTTAAACTTTCGAAGTAAATTTGTTCTAAAAAAAACTTCTAAATATCCAAAACTCCTTAATGAAAACTGACTGAGCAAATTTGCATCTTAATCCTTTTTTAAATGAGTCTAATCATATACTTTAAAAATAAGTTACATTTTTTTTACATATTTATTATCTTTAACAAATTTTAATCAATTTTTTTATATACACGCAATTCAATTATTCATATCTTATATAGAAAAAAATTTAAAGGGAATCATTAAGTTTCAACTACAATAATTCGTGTGTGCAACTGTTTAAATTATACTTGCAACTGATTTTTTTTCTTTTGAAGATCTAATTGTGTTTTTTTTTTTTTACAAAGAAAATCTAATTGTCATTAAATTAACCTTTTAAAACTTTAAACTTCCGTCCCCCAAAACTCAAACCGCCCGGCCCTGCCTCACTTTCGACTGAGCTCGTGTTACTCCGGACCGAACTGAACAGGACATAACAAGATGGTAAAGTTCTTCCCCAAAATATTTAACACGGCTATATTCTCAAAACTCGAACTATGCTAAACCTCAATTATCATTTTTCAATTCCCTTACATTGCTGTAACATTGACTTTCCCAATAAAACAAGCCGTTCATTGTTAACCCCACAGGTTAATACTACGTATGGCGCTTGCGAATGCATCCAAGGAAGCAAGAGCCAAGACGCCCTATAACTTATGTCAGAAAATAAAAATCAGCGTCCTCTAGTACCCACCATGTGAACCCACCACTATGCAGTACAACTTGTCCTGCATTTCCTGCCTCCTGCATCTATAAATGACCCATAAGCGTACAAGCTGTTATTCACAGGCCATTTAATCTGTTTGTTTCTGCGACCCAAGTTTCCCAATGGGTTTCATTTTCAGGGTTCATTCTCTGTTTCTGCTCTCTCTTTTCTTACAAGCTCTGCTTGTGACTCTTCACCAAGCAAGAGCAGCAAAGTTTTTCAATGCGAGTAGCTCATTGAGGGGGAGAAAGCAAGCAAGTGGGTGTAACTTGTTCATAGGAAGCTGGGTGACTGACCCTTCATATCCGTTCTATGACTCTTCAAGCTGTCCCTTCATAGATGCTGAGTTTGATTGCCAAAAGTACGGGAGACCTGACAATCAGTATCTCAAATATTCCTGGAAGCCTGATTCGTGTGCCATGCCCAGGTACACTACCCATTAATGGCTCAAAATTTTCTAACATTCTTTTCTTTGTTCCCAGATTACATGTTTGAGATGTAGTTTGTCAAGCTAAAAGTTGCCTCTAAACAGAATGGTTTTGAAACTGTTTGATAAAATGGTTAATGCTATTAACTCTTGAAAACTGGCTCTGAAGGTGGCTTTTAATGAATCTGCATTCTTTAATGGTGTCAGGTTCGACGGGAAGGATCTCCTGAACAGGTGGAGCGGGAAGAAGATAATGTTTATTGGTGACTCCCTCAGTCTGAACATGTGGGAATCAATGGCCTGTATGATTCACGCGTCGGTGCCCAATACCAAGACCACCTTTTTGAGGAAAGAATCACTATCTACTGTGATCTTCCAGGTTTGCTAATTTTGTTTCCACTCTCCTTCCCTCGGTTGCTTTGTCAGCATTACTGCACAAGTGTTACTGTTCAGTGTGCTTTCAGAGTTCCACGCCTGTCTTTCCATCTTTCTTCTTTTTACGTTCTCTCTCTCTCTCTCTCTCTCTCTCTCTCTGCCTTTTCTCATTTGTGGTTCTTGCTCTTATTGGTGCTTTCCAGTTCCCATTGTTCATTCACTTTCCTCCTACCGCATTCATTAAAACTGATAGATAGAAAAATTTAAGAGTTTCATTAGAAGCAATTGACGCGGCAGGAGCACTTGATTGGCGATGGAGTAAATTACAATAAAAGCAGACCTTTAGCTTTCTAAATAATAGAGCTTTGAATAGGATCAGAATCCTCTTGCTGGGCCAGGGGCAATCAAAAGAGGAACAATGAATATACTAAAGCATCCACCTAAAAGAGGGAAGAAACAGGAAAGACCTCCTACCAATTTGATTTGCTTGTAAGGAACGAAGTCCTAAAACCAAATTATTAAAGAGGAATCAGTTTAATGTTGACTTGTATAACTGTGTGCTTTTAGATCTTGAAGACATAGTGTGTTATTAATGCCACTTGACAGGCTGTGAGGCAAACTTGCCAACCTATGATTATTAGTTGGCGGCTCTCTGCAATTATTTGCTTCCTTCCGTTTAACTCTAATCTAATGAACCAAGAACGTGACTCTGTACTCTGCAGTCCATAGTTTATAAGTGTTAGTATCTTTTCTAGCATTTGAAGCCGCAATATGCATTATTATTTTACAAACCCAGATAAGATTTACATATACCTAAATAAATCATTTGAAGATTCCAAATTAGTCATGCTATGACAACAAGCCTTCCTGCGACTTCCATTCAGACAGTCATTCACGAGATTTCACCCAAAATGCCCAAATTTATAGTAGTTTAATTGATCTTACCTTTTGCCAATTAATTTGAGCTTTTTTCTTTGAATGAAACCATGGAATTCAACATTACCGGCCGCTGATAAAAAGTTGAAAAAGAATGGTGGGAGGGACCATGTTTTTTGTTTAAAATAGTGGCCATGACAGAGCGTGTTTGGTAGGTTGATTACTACTATTTTCCACGTGAGCTGCTTGTTTGTTTTTACAAGTACACCGTTTATCCTTTTTGAAGAATCAATTCGCTGAATCCGAGTAGTTTTTGCATTCATTGCCCCCCGCTTGTTTTTTGCCTTTGCCTTAAATATTATAGTTAATCTCAAACATCCAAAAAGGACGGTGGAGATTATGGTAGTCGGTGAACTTGTGCAGGACTATGGAGTAACTTTACACCTATACCGCACACCATATTTGGTGGACATAGTTCGAGAAAACGTGGGCCGAGTGCTTGACTTGAACTCCATAGAAGCTGGAAACGCATGGAAAGACATGGACATGTTGATCTTCAACTCCTGGCATTGGTGGACCCACAAAGGACAATCTCAAGGGTATGTTCAAGCTTCTAAATGTGAATTCCATCCAAGAATGGCCTAATGGACTGAATCTAAGCAAGAAAAATTCATCATTAGTACATGGGCTTTTCTGGTTATGCTGCTTTATCAAGTTTAATCTTTTTGTATCAGCTCATTCATTCGAAGTCTTCTATGTTTCTTAGTGAAATCTGATGGTTTGTTGATGTTTGGTACATCCAGATGGGATTACATAAGAGACGGTCCCAGACTGGTACAGGATATGAATCGTTTAGAAGCATTTAATAGGGGACTAACTACTTGGGCTAATTGGGTTGATCGTAATGTTGATCCCACCAAGACCAAAGTCTTCTTTCAGGGCATTTCTCCTACGCATTATCAGTAAGTAAATCTCATGCATATGAAAAAGGTCAAATCTCCCTTTTTAGATTTTTAGTTTGCTTATATTCAGATGGGAACTTCTGAGACTTTCCTCGTGATTCACTACAGAGGCAAAGAGTGGAATCAACCAGCAAGGAGCTGTAGTGGAGAACTAGAACCATTATCTGGTTCATCCTACCCTGCAGGTCTGCCTCCTTCAGCTTCTGTAGTGAACAATGTGTTGAAGAAGATGAAATATCCTGTTTATCTACTTGACATAACACTCCTCTCACAACTTAGAAAAGATGCCCACCCTTCTCTCTATAGTGGGGACCACGCAGGCAATGACTGTAGCCATTGGTGTCTACCTGGTCTACCTGATACCTGGAATCAGCTCCTCTACGCAGCTCTCAGTATGTGAGATCCATCACCAATTTGATTCTTCCTTCATAATCTCTAGGTTTCTATGTGTGTTCACTTGCTCAGTGATTTCGTGAAAGATAGAGAAGCTTCCTCATTAGTTGGTGGGTAGATAAGAGGTGAGATACATTTTACAATTATAGGCTTCTTGAACCACAAAAATTGATGGTTCAAAAGGGGAGAAAAAGAAAGAAAGGAAAACAAGCAAAAATAAGCCTGTCATGGAGATCAAGCTGCTCTCCCAAGGGAATAAACTAAACTAATCTTTACTGAATCACAAAATGATATTTAGTTTCATATTATTCGATGGCAGTTCATTTGAGTCCCGCGATTTGTAACAGCTAAGTGAAATATATGATATGAAATAATTTCAAAGATATTTGTAGTGTCCTGATATTGTGTATATTAATTTTGTTCATCCTAATTTCTTTTATTTGTTATACGATCATTTTCTTAATCCTGCTTTTGGTTTCTTCCCCGTAGTTTTCAATTGCGAACACAATTATTCATAACAATAAGTTTGGAATTAAGTCTTAATACTTTGATAACAATGCCGTGAGGAACTCAATTTTCTTTGTCCCCATCCTTCTTTAACAATGAAAATTTTATTTTAGCATAAAATATGGTGTACATGTGCAAGGATAATTGGAAGCCAGTTTGACCAGAATTAACAAAAGTACAAATTATATTAACTACAAAAACAACGAGGGAAAATCACCCAATTAAGTACAGAAACACTTGTCATAATTGCTTCACAAAGAACCAACAGACAGGACTGCCATAGAAGATTCCTGCAAGCAAGAAAAAGTAAAACGAGATTTAAACGCTGCATCTAACTCAGATACAGTCCTAAACCACCTTTTTAATGCTCTTGTATAGTTAAATATGGTTAAGTAATAACGGAACCTTTCTTTTTTATTTTGGTTGTTGAAATGACATATAATCTCCAACTACAAGACGAAACAATTACTAATAGATCATACAGATCAAACGGCCAAAAGCAACACATACCATTAAGATCACAGTTTCGAGGCAAGTAGAGCATCTAGTAGCCGACATACACAGCAGCGTTCACTATGTAACACTCATCGTTTTGGTCGGCCATTTCTTCAGTTGAGCAGACAAGTCCACCATTCACAACCTCAAAGCTCACAATTTTCCCACTGCAATGGTTTTTCAAAAGTAACGTTTTGTCTCGTGCTAATTACTCCTCCGGTCCTTAATATAAAACCATTTAACTAATTTGATTAAATTAAAGAAATTAGTAAGTTAGTTAATTATAATAAATGTGACACATTCTTCCTAAATACCATAATAATCTTTTTTAATACCTCATCTTCCTCTTCTACTTGATTATGGTTGAAGAGTATCCATAGGGGTAATTTAGAGAAAATTGATAAATATGAAAAATAGGTCTTATATTTAGGATCAAAACCAACTCAACAATTGGGTCCTATATTAAGGATTGGAGGAGTAGTAGTTACCACCATTTGAACAGTTACTAATCCTCACATACTGAATATTCTCTATATTTATATATATAATTGAGAATATACTAGTACTCCTCCGGTCCTTATTATAAGACTCCATTTGACTTTTTATTTGGTCCTAATTATAAGACCCTAATCCATTTTGTCTCTTATATTTATGCATTTTTTCCAAGATAATCCTTCTAATAATGATAGTTTTAGCCAATATACTTAATTAGCGAGGATATTTTAGGAATGACAACACTTATTTATTATAAATAACCAACTTAACTTACTTCCTTAATCTCCTCAAATAAGTCAATTGGGTCTTATAATTAGGACCGGAGGAGTATTATTTTAAACATGACTACTCGAAAACCAATGGCTTGATAGTATACTCACTATGGAAACACAGTCTTGATTTTGTCCTGATCCAAGTGTCGTTGGAGAGGAAGAGGAACACCCAGTTTGACAGGCAGTTTCATGTGGTCAGATGTGACACCAGGTATGCTACCTATTCCAAATTCACCTAATTCTTAGAGCTGTTTCTACTTCCACAACCTCGTTTGAATCAGGATAATTATGAAAGTGATCATATCAATAGAAAAAGACCCAGTTTCTTTTATACAAGTTCAGACAAAAAATGACTATTATTCTGTTCGTTCAACACACACCCAGAACAGAGTTTATGATGTGTTCATGTAAAAGAGGGTAAGAAGCACCTTTTCTGAAGGCTGGGATTGAATTGGACGCAATGGCATCTCGGCAAGCTCTCATGGCTGCAGCAGTTATGTCCTGCCTGTAATCTCAACGTTTATAAGTTAAAAAACTAATCTTTGAAAGGGAAAAGCTACGAAGGGGATTAAGAAAAGAGAATAATACCCGTGAAGATCGTATCCAACACCCATCTCTACAAACAGAAGCTTCATCTCTGGAATTGGGGCATCTCTTTGTGCTGCTTCCATCTTGAGCTGATACACTTTCGAGCTCCTTCAATCACACCACAAAATTCAGAGTCGTTTGGAGGCTCTCATTCTCAGCAATTCGTTTTGAACAAAAACTGAAACCTGCGTGTTTGCTCGCATGTGTGCCAAGTTAGCAGTTAAGTGACACGTTAGACTGATCTGGCAACAAACTGTGTGACCACGAATGTCCTTTTTTCCGGCGAGCCATGTCTTGCTCTTAGCGTAAGGATTAGATTTGGAACGGGAGATAGAGATCTGGGTTTCTGACAAATGGGTCTCGTCGTCTTTGTTCTGTTTATAAAAAGTTTAAAATTGATTTTATGCTCAAGGCAAACACAAATGCTTGGAAAATTTCTTGTGCATTTGTAATGGTAGCAATGTGTGTGTCACCAGTGAAATTATAAGAATTTAATTTTTTTTTTAGAATACTTTAATTATATTCATGTTTAAGTGAATAATGTACTAGATGTATGGTATACGTCGACGTGAAACTTGGATACAGATCAGGAGTATCCATTCATGAATGAAATTATGAAATTGTCCGATAATATTAACAAAACAAAACTACCAGAAGCTAACAGAACTACTTACATGTCTTACATTGCCTATCACATACTTTTCTAAAAAAGAAAAATCAGGATGGCAAGCTCAGCTTGAAAGTAAACATTGGAAGTCACTTCCACGATGTCCCTATCCTACTTATAAGCAAGCTGATGTTACAGCATCTTATTTGTTCTCATCAATTACTTCTTCGCACCAGTAATGGTAATGCCATGATTGCGCTCTCCTTCGGCAGGGATAGTCACACTTTCTTCATATTGGGCTATCAATTGCCTCATCTGGCGGCCTTGTGTAATGAGACCAGATGTATGACATCTCTTGTTTTATATTAGGCCCATTATCTATACCCACTTGCCTATGATCTTCAAATTTTTGTGTCTGTGCAGCCTTCTTCAACAGCATGTGCTCTTTGACCATTGCCTGTTATCTTGTCAGAAAATTGATCCCCTTACTCCCTCTCTCCATGGTAATCAATAAAAGAGTTGAGTGACTAATTTGAATAAATTAAAAAAAAATTTTAAGTTAATTATTTGTAATAAATAGATATCTAAAATACTTACTAGTATTATATTTAATGGAACCTTTAATATAGACAACTATTATAACGATTACTTTGAAAAAAAATAGATAAATATAAAAAATAAAATAAATTGAAATATCATATTTAAGATCAAATTGAAAGTCAAACTAGCTCTTATATTAAAAACTGAAGATAGTACAAGAAGTTCTTTAGAAGAAAATTTGATCTAAAATATAAGAGGTTTACAGGGTAATTGATGATAATTTTTCACTTTCAACCCTTATTATCAAGAGGAGAGAGGGTTTTTAGTGCAAGAGACAGAGGAAATAATGAGGATAAAATGGGTAATTTTTATCAATTTGAAACACATTTGATTTGTAAGAAAATTTAATTAACGTATTATGGTCTGGAAGGGTACTACAGTATGGACCCTTGCACTATTTTTCTCCTCCAGAAAACTTGCTTCCAACAGAAACGTAACATAAAAGAACATAAAAGAACTATGATTGGTACTGGAATAATCAAACTGGAAGAGTTCGAATTTCATCATAATAACATATATCCATTATCAAAAGAAGCACGTTCACATGCGATGGAGGAGCGAAACAATGATCTTAACATATGAACGAGAGCTTATTACACTAGACTGAAATCTCATTTTCCTGCCGAAGCAACCAGATACAGACACTGCTCTCTCTCACGGAGATTCTCTCAAAAGGTAATTTGGTGAAACCCGTTTGGTCCTCCATAAAGATCCTACTGCTGTTAGCCTGTCATATTATCAAAAAGGATGAGCAGACTAAAACTGCAATAGTGGATTTAGATATGATGGTGTTAAATGGAGGATCAGAATATGCACAATGCAGGAACTTACCTTACAAAGTTGTTCATTCAGAACTCAGAAGTCACAAGTCAATAGCCCACATACACAGCAGCATTCACAATGTAACAATCATCGTTCTTATCACCCATTTCTTCCACATGCACCCCACTTGAGCATATCAAACCTCCATCCACAACTTCAACATTCACAATTTTTCCACTGCATTTTTGTTTTGTTGGATATATATGGTGTTACTCGTTATATAGTAAACTACAAACAAGCACATATGAACTGAAAGATCCAAGAGTTATTAAGAAGATCCATCCCAAACAATTATGAATAGGCATTTGAGCATTGCAGGCATAGAATCTCCCTAAAAGGTCAGGCACGCTAGATTCATATCAGAATATACAGTATTCCCTTCAAGCAAAACTTTTTAAGACTAAGACTTAAAATTTTGTGCGGAATGTAAACAAAGAAGACCCCAAAAAAAAAAAAAGATAAAGTTTTTTGCTTAGAAATGTGAACCTTTAACCAGCCAGAAAAATGAAATAATAGATTCCATAACTCGAGTTTCAATGAAAATTGTCTCTATCTATAAAATTTGAAGATCTCTTACTCATAACAAAAGCATCATATCCAGATAGCCACTAGTGAAAGATCAAGCACTGTTATCCAGAAGTGTAAGTACTCACTAGGGAAATACAGATTTGACTTTCTCAATATCCAAAGATTGTTGGAGAGAATGAGGGACCCCTAACTTGATCTGTAGTTTCATCTGATCAAAGGTGACACCAGGAATAGAACCTAAATCATGCTCCACTAATTAGAATTGAAGAAAATATTGAAAAATCAAGGCCCAAAATAAGCTTCCTGAATTTTTAAACAACATTGATCAATCATCAGAAATTGTATTACAGTATTAGGGAAATATTGATGTAATAGCCAGAACAAATAATCCATTATTCAACCGTTAGGCTGTTCCTTCAGGGAACTACAATGAAAGATGGCACAAAAAAAAAAGAAAAAAAGAAACTCGATTTACAAAATCCTATGATGAATCTAAAGCAGAACAATTTTATGCAACTATTAACAATTCTCACATTCAAAAACACAGCTTCTTAAGTTCATTCGGAGACATCAGTATACTTTCGAAAATTAACATAGTACAACGAAAACTCAAACATGCCTCTTCGGAAAGCTGGGATTGAATTGGAAGAAATAGCATCCCTGCACGCTCTCATTGCTGCAGCTGTTACGTCCTGCCTGCATTAATGCGAAGTGATCAACCATTTCTATCTATCGGAAAGGGCAAGAAGAACAAGGAAAAGGAAGATAAAACGGAAATAGATTACAACACCCGTGTTGATCATAGCCGACGCCCATCTCCACGAATAGAAGCTTCATGGGTGGGGATGAACCACTGTTCGCAACAGAACCTTCAGCTTGTTCAGCTTCCATGGGCGCAGGCGTAGCTTGAGTTCGACCAGAAATTCGAAGACGTAGGAACTTGGACTGGTCTGAGAATGAAACAGATGGGCGGAAATGATGTAGAGAGCTGATTCTGCTGCAATGGTTGATGGGAAAACCACGATTGGGATAGGAAGGAACTTGCAGGTTTAGCGCTAGACACTCGATCATTGTTCTTGAGGATTGTCCAGCGTCAGCAGAATCAAGGCGGGCTTGGAAGTCGGGTTATGACTCATCACTTATCAGGGTCAAGCACTGACCCGACTTCTTTATTTATTTTCTTTTTCTCTTTTTAAATAATAAAAATAGACATTATAAAGAATACCCAGGGTTTTGGGGGGAGTAGGATCCGTCGGCCCAAAAAAGGACAAGTGGCGGTAGGATCCTTTCTATCAGTTTAATTTGGTCTCTAGAAACTTCTTTCATGTATGGAAATTTGAAAAATAAATGCTTAAATAATATAATCTCCTATAAATTTTAATATGTATCAGGTCATTTTTCCTTTCCTCCGAATTTAATCCCTTATTTTTCTCATTTCAGGTGTTGTCATCCAATCCAGTTCTTTGATCCCTCATTTAGGAGTGTTTGGATAAAAACAAAATCATAGTTTTAAAAATACTTTTACGGTATACGAAATAAATATGTAAAAGAATTTGTCTCGATTTGTAAAAAAGTATTTCGGAGAAGTGTTTTTGAGGTGTTCCAAACACCCCCTCAGGCATAAAATAATAAATAGGAAAATATCACTGCATGCCCCTTCAGCAATTTAGAAGCCCCTAATATATATTATCTTTTTAATTTTAGCCACATCTGAACGTGTTTATAAATTATTAAAAATTCTCATTGTTGATAATTTATAAATAACGACTTCGACTTTACATAAATTTTGTAGGATATATATAGGTATAAATTTAATATTAGAGTAGTAACAGTCAGCGTATGGTTGGGCAAGTAATGAACGAATAGAAGAATGAGTAATATTATGAATAAGGTTTTTTGCAATAACAAGGGATAGGTGGGGGCTACAAGGGTGATTTACATATATCAAGGGAAGCAGAGTTTGCTCCGAAAGCAAGCATATTAGCATCATCAGACGATGTTGATCAGCAAGTAGCAGACCTGCACAAGTATTTATGTTGCTGGCTCTGGCTTTGTACATGGCACGACCTCGCCTTATCTCTTAATTCTTCGAACGCCCTCATCGTCTCCACATCGTATCCCCCAGCAAACTGTCAACCCAACACAACACACACTAACGTTATTCTCTGTCTCCACAAATATAATACTAATACCCAGGACCACCCATCGTCCCTTCTTTTCTTTTCTTTAATTTATATACTATTATTATTATATACCTGATGTACACGAAATGCAAACCTAACTCCTTGCACGATCAGCTCTTCTTCCTCAGGACCACCACCGCCTGCTTCTAGCTCCGCAGATACCCTCTTCATGTACTTCATCGCCAGTTTTACTGATGCCAGCTTTATCTGCCCGCAAACACAACCCCAACATTATTTCCCACGTACTCCGCCATTATTACTTATACCAAACCACTTCCCTTGTTTAAGTTTCATCAATTCATACACGTGAACTAACGGTAAAAAAAAATTAGAGGCACTGGGTTCCTCCTTCAATTTCGCGCAAGACTAGTGCAAAAGGACGAAGAACTGAATTTAGGCTTCTTGGAATTCACAACATGTGCGCATGCAGGGCTGCACGGACAGACACACAGGAAAAAGTCCAACCTCTTACCCCGTCGTTTTGTTGCCAGCATACTAGTTATTTGGACTACTACTTGCTCGCATATGTTTTTAAATTCTTGTATGGAATATATACTATCACTGATGCTCGTGTGCGAATCCGACGAAGAACGTTAGATAATAATTCATGCGCATACCTTTTTTCCTTTATTCAATGAAATAGAAGAACATTAAACACTGCAAAAATTAAGGGTCTATGAAGCATCGAGAAAATACCTGGCTCACATATCCCGTGTCAAGCATCCAATCCACAGGTATATGAAAGACCTTGTATCTATGCGTTGCGGACTCTCTCATCCTTGAGATATTGTAAACCCCATGCTCTAACCTGCCAAACGCCATCAACATTTTAATTAATACGAAATCCTATTCACATTGAAAGATCCAAGTTGGCTCTAATTATTATTATATAAAACAAAATTTAGAAAAAAAAAACAGAATGAAAAGAAGATAATACTTCTCAAATAGAGACTGGATCTTCTTGAGAGCAGGACCACTTGGTTGGCGAGGATCGTCGCGGAAGGAAGAAGCCTCGGATTCTAATTTCTTCAGATCACAGTATCCGAACGCGGCCTCTCGCAGTGCATCTGCCTTGTGTTCTGGCCATTCGAAGTGTTTCAGCACAGCTCTTTCGTCCACCTGAATGAATCATCATTGCAGTTATCAATCTTCGTCACATTATCACGACAGACATAATTATTAATAATTAATCATTTAAAGTTGATTTAATTACCAAATAAGAGAGCTCTTCGTCAAGCCATTTAACAAATGACACAACGTCGTCGATGTTTGTGAAAGCAGCGCCCTCCACCTCCTTGATCAAGAACCTTATGAAATCACCTTGTGTTTCCACGTCTGTTTTGATCTGTAAGCAAGACACAGTTTAATCTTCGTTTTCCAGCAAACTCCATGTTTGACTAAACTCATCGAAATGTTTCTATGGTTTCAGTTTGACTTCTTTAATTCTCAAAAGTTCGGAATGGTGTCTAAAAAGTAGTGCCATTAGCTTCAGGCATATTTATGGTCTTAGTGTGATCTTTTTGAATGCAGATTTCGAATCTCAAAATTGTCTCATCTACGACGATAACATGGGACAATTCGCATTCAAATTCAAATTAAAGGAGTAAAAGTGGGACTGCTGCTTGGTCAGTTGACGCTGACCCTGTGACAGGGGCAGAGTTGTAATTATGCTAAAACTTGAATACTGTTTTACTTACCGCGTGTAAGTGAGCTGAACGGTTCTCGATCTCACCGATCATGTCTCGGGCATTCGCCGTCGTCGGAACCTCCGTCGCACCGGAGCCTGAGTCCCGCCGGGAATGTGAGTCCCTCCGCATTAACGAGTGGTAAAACTCGACCACCTCTGGTACTCTCCTCACCTTGGGTGGTCCTGGTTTGCTTCCCTTTGGCGGCGGCGGAGGAGGCGGCGGAACAGCCTTGGATGCCGCCGAGCGAGGAGGAGGTGGTGGTGGTGGTGGAACAGACTTGGATGCAGCCGCGTGACGAGGTGGTGGCGGTGGTGGAGGTTTCGGAACTGCTTGCTCTGTTTCACCATTTCCATCTGAAGCATCAGAGGTTGTGTCAGACGATGACGGCGGCGATGGAGGAGACGACGACGACGAGGGTCTTGGCGGTGGTTTTGGAACTCTGGGTGCACGGGATCTGACATTGATTATCGCCGACTCCGCAGACTCAGCCAGCTCTTCTGAGTTATTCCGAGAATGTCTGGGTTTCTCCATTTCTATTTCTACTACCTCTCTTTTCAAATTGACACTACTTTCAAGCTGCTTATGAGAATGAACATTGCTATCCTGGTTTGAGGAACTCTCTGCGCACTTAGCTCCTCTCTTCAAATTCTTGATTAGATTCGACTTCACAGAAACATCCACAAGCCCTTGAAACCTTTGAGAAGAAGAAAGATCATCGCTGTTTAATGCATTTCTTTTTTCTGCATGATCCGATACCCATTTTTCTAACTCTTCTATCTTATCCTCCAACGTTTTCATCTTCATCTCGCTTTCTCTTCTCTCTTCTTCAACCCGACGCTTCAACTCCCCTAACTCATTTACCAGACTCAAATTCTCAGCCTCCAATTCCTCCACTCGCCTGGCATTTCTCTCAATCTCTGTTTCCTTGGCACTAATCTCGTTCTCCAGAACAGGCAAAATGGCGACAGACTCCTTCAAGAGCTTATGCTCAATAAGTTCCGTCTTCAAGCGAGACTCCCTCTCGCGCAGCTCCTCCACGAGACGGAGGAGCTCCGTCACGTCAGGCGGACGGGGCTGGACTTGTGCCGAAGAGCGAGGGAAGTATGCGCCGAAAGAGCGAGAGAAAGCAGACTTGTGAGAACTCTTATTGCCGGAGCCGGTGGTTGACGACGAGGTATGTTGCTTGGCGGGAGGCGGCGGCGGCGGAGTTTCGGGTTTGGAAATGTGCGCGGGCGACTTCTGGAGGCCGATGGCCACCCTTACCTTGCCAGCTACCATTGATGTTGATCAGTGAGTTATCGGAGATAGTATTTTTGGGATACGTAGGAGTATAGTTTTAGGGTCCTCTGGTTTTCAATCTCATAGGGGTGAGACCTAACAAAGATGTCCTTGTCCTGTCCCTGTTCTGTCAGCTAGCAATTAGAGATAGAGAGAGAGTCTGAAACTAGAGAGAGAAGGAAGAGGGTGGGGGAGGAGAGAAAGAAGGCACAAAAAACGAGGAACGGTCTTGGATGCGATTTGAGGGGAAAATAAATTCCGAGGAGAGGAGAGGGGGACAGGTAACTGGGAGGTGAGGGAACTAAACGAATTCAAATTGATATTTAGATCAGAGGGACATTTATTGGAACACTTGTGATATCAAGTTTGAACAACCTTTTCATCATCACCAGGTCCCAACGGTTCTATTGGTTTCAGCAATTTCATTTTGAGATTAAATATTTTTTCCGATCTCTTTCGTTTTCATTAGTTTTTTGCATGACTTGATGTGCTATAATTAAGCTAACGGTTGCATAACGATTCTCATAGTCAAAGGAGGTCAAATGTTGAATTTGCTGTGGAAACTTGGTACTCCCTCCGTCCTAATTATAAGAACCCAATTGACTTATTTGAGGAGATTAAGGAAGTAAGTTAAGTTGGTTATTTATAATAAATAAGTATTGTCATTCCTAAAATATCCTTGCTAATAAGTATATTGGCTAAAACTATTATTATTAGAAGGATTATCTTGGAAAAAAATG